ACATGGTCTAGGCCATGTAACAATGAGAGTCACACTTGCCAATTCCTGTCTTCAAACTCTGAGTAGATTCTCTCTGCAGATTCTCTTACACACACACACACACAGAGGCATCCCTGGCTTTATACACAGGGTTTCAGCTCAACATGTTCCCCAGTGCCACCATCTGCCTGTCCATCATCTGAACATCAATCTATCCACCCATCCTTCCAACTCACCCTCACCTCCATGGTCCCAAGCGTCAGCTGCTCTGCCCTGCACTTGACTTTCCAGATCTCTGGAAGCTCTTCACCTGAAGTCCTTGCTGTGCATCTAACCACCTTGTCCTAGATAACTTTATCTGGCGATTTGACACAGCCTAGAATCACTTGAGAAGGGAGGTTCAACTGGGGTCCACCTAGATCAGACTGGTTTATGGACATGTCTGTGGAGGATTCCCTTAATCGTTAGTGATGTAGGAGAGAGGCCTAGCCACTGTGGGCAGCACTGTCCCCTACGTAGGTGGCCCTGTGCTCTGTAAGAGAGCTAGCTGGGCATGAACCTAGGACAAGCAATAATCTTTTATGATCTCTGCCTCAAGTTCTTGCTTGAGTGTCTGCCCTGACTTCCCTCTTGATGAATTATGACCTGGATGTTTAAGCTAAAATCACACTCCCTCCACACTGCCTTTTGCTCAGAGAGTTCTATTAGCTGTGGAAGGAGACTGGAATACACTATAATAATTCTGTCGTTCTCAGCTTTCCCTAGAGTAGGGCCTCTTTGGCTTGAACCCTTTGGGAGTCATTCTACAACCTGCATAGATACATAGTTTACAGTGTGCTGTGTAGTGTTTGAGCTGAGAGTTAATACTGGTCATTAAATTTGGCATTAAAAAACCCCCGTGTTTGCTATGTAGCCGGCTATCAAGGGAAGTCAAGATTACCCAGCAAATTGCAGCCAACAGCACTGATAAAGCGTGACAACGTTTCGTTAAGGCAGTTTGACATTATGGAAAGATATGAGCATATCTCTCCATGGCTCCAGCAGAGTGGGCTCATGGCCATTCTGTGGGATGAGCAGCTGTGTGGTCCGGAGGGATGGGCACGTGTGACCTGCTGTGGGTAGAGCGGTGAGGAGCCAGCCTTGGCGAGGGGGAGGCTTTACGTGGGTGTCGACTGTGTGGTGGGATGCTGGAGTGAGCATGGGCTGCAGGGTGGATGCGGGGTGCGCACAGGCATGCGTGATGTGGCTTTAGCTTTTGTTCAGATTTTTCTTTTACTCTTTGTTGGCCTTTGTCCCTGTCTTTGTTGGGCCTTTGTTTTCTCTCTGTTTTGCTCTTTGTTTCAACTTTCTTTAGCTTTTGTTTGGTCTCTCTTTAGCCTTTTGTTTAAACGCTGTGTGGCCTTTGTGCAGCCTTTGTGTGGCTTTTGTTGTAAAGTACAACTTGGCGGAGGACCCATCAAAAACACCTCTGTAATGAAAACCCAGACGCACAACCTCTCCCTATATATTCTGCATGTATTGAGGTAGCCCAGTTCCACAAGGGCCGCGTGTCCACGGGATTCTCTCTTACGCAGTAGCCGCTACCTGCAGGTAAGGATTCCGGAGGCTCACGCGGCAAGGGCATACATCCTCAAGGGTTTCAGGGGAAGCCAGCCATGATGGCAGCTGGGGATGGGAGGAGGAAAAAGAACAGAGCTAGCCCAAGAGAGAAAGAACAGCCGTTTACTCTGGCCTGGGCAGAGGCGCCCTCAGAACCATCCTTCCTAATATCTGGGTTTGCTGCCCCAGGGAAAGATGCTCGGATTTTCTTGTTTGTCATCTTTGCTGTTGCAGAGAGATCAATGGTGCTGGTAGTTTCTCCCCCAGGTCCCATTTCTTGTTTTAATTGTTGTTATGATTTAAAAAATGAGTTTTCATGAGGCCCCACCCTCGCTAGGACTTACGTAGTTAATGGTTAATAGGGAAGAGAGACACTGTCCTTAGTCATGTATCCGGCTGGCGCTGGTAAGTTGCCCATGCTCCTGTAGGGAGCCCTCATGAAACTCCTCGGGTTTTACCCCTCTCCAGGGACAAACCACGGAAGAAGAAGGGGAGGTCAGGTGGGAAGAGGGAGTGGACCTTCAGGAGTGGAAGGGAACGGGGAGGGTGACAAGACCTGGCTGTGACTGAAATAATTATGTACACGTGTGAAAATGTGACAAGACATTGATTGTGCACAATGAACACATAACAAAAACATCTGAAAAGGAGCAGACGGGGTTAAAAGAGGAACACGAGCGACTTTTCCTTCTCCCTTAAACACACAGCGGGATTTGTAAGCAGGGGGCGGGGGGGACACGACACGCAGCAGTGAGGACCAAATTCGCACCCTGACTGGAGCGATGCTGATGCTCTGTCTCATACAAAATCTCACGGGATCATGGGAACCTTCAGTCTTTGGCTGAGGAAAAAGGAAAGAGATTTGTGCCAGGGGAATAAAGCAATGAACTCGGCTATGGTGTTAGAAAGGAAATAGAGAAAAGGTTTTGAATGCCGTGTGAACAGAACAGGCAGGCAGGAAATGGGCTGTAGCCAGGTGCATAGATCTGCTGTTTGGGGATTCTTTAGGATGCCGAGGGTTGCTGGTGAGTGGATCTCAAACTTGCTTCAAATCTACGGAAAAGTTGCAGACTTTTGAAGAACCCCAGCTGTGCCTAGTTCAGGCAAATGCTAACATTCTCCACATTTGCTGGCTGTTCTCTTTTGTGCAGACACCTGCACCTTATCCCGCCCCCATGGAGACTAAGTGCACACATCATTTATGTCAGGAAACTAACAGCGAGCTTGCCGATCTGTTATATAATCTAGAGTCCCCCGCCCCAGTTCATCCGTACGTTTAGCTGCCAGTCCAGTCTCACACACTGCTTCTGGCTGTCTTGTCTCTTCAGATTCCCTTAACCTGCAAATGTGGCCAGGGCAACCATTCTCTGACAGTCTTGTTTGTTGTTGTTGTTGGTGGTGATGGTGTGTGTGTGTGTGTGTGTAGAGGTTAGAAGTCAATGTCACGTGATCTCATCCATCCCTTTCCACCTTAGTTTTTGAGACAAGGTCTCTCACTGAGTCTGGAGCCTGTTCCTAGACTCTCTAGGGGTCTGCCTGTCTCTACCCCAGCACTGAGGTTACAGATGACAGAGCCCATGACTGGCTGTTATGTGGGTGCCGGGGATCTGAACTCAGATCCTGCACAGCGAGTATGGTGCCCACTGAGCCCAGTTAAGATGCTGGCCGCTTCTAAGCTGTTGTCAAATGTCCTTCAGCTTGTGGTCTGAATGACGCTAACAGGAAACAGCTTCCAATAGGGTGATATTGGCTAATGCTGTGACCAGGCCCCTCATCAGTCAGGGCACATTCTCCCGTGGTTCCAGCACTTCCGCCCAGTATAGATCCCACCCTTCCTGGGAAAACACAGCATTAGGTCCCATGACTGTCATAGCTAAGGAGTCACCTGCAGTTCGATGAGTTTTTTGCTGAAAGGATCATGAGGCTGGGAACATAGTTCAGTCAGCAGTGCCTGCCTAGCGCACACAGAACCCCAGCTTCAGTCATGGACATCGGGTAAACTGTAGAGGCACGTGGCACACGCCTGTGATCCCAGCACTCAGGAGGGTCGGAAGTTCAAGGTCATCTTCAGCTACAAGGGGAGCTGGAGACCAGTCTGGGTTAAAGACCCCACCTCAAAACACACAGACAGACAGATTATATATTCCTATGGTGAATTATTTAGCAGTAGACAATGAAGGTGTTAAAGCCCTCCTTTTTCTCAGTCAAAACAATTGAGGCTCAGGGTACAGAGGGCTTAGGAGGCAGGGTCTGTGGATGGCACCTGCTTCTGATGATCTAGAATTCTGCTGGGCTGGGCTGGGCCTCGGCTGGTTGTACCCACGGAATCTGATTATGTCAACTTTGAAGTTCTGTTGAAGAGTGACTAGGATTTTCAAGATCTCTGTGTGGAAATCACAAGAAACTCAAACGTTTGCAGCTGGGTTGCCCTTCGATATATGTGAACGCCATAGTGTCTGTCCCTGAGTTCGATTGCTCTTCGATATATGTGAATGCCATAGTTGTGTGTCCCTGAGCTCAGCAGGCTCGAGGTCAGGGATCCCCATGTGTTCCAGAACCCACCCCCAGCATAGATTTCTTCAAGATGTTTCTAAGGCATGCAGGTCTTCTTAATCTCAAAACCTGTGAGGTAGAAAATACACACATCTCCTAGGTGAGAGAACAGAAAGAGGCCACGCTATGATCACACCTGGCGACACCACCCTGGAACAGGGAATCATGGGACAGCACCTGCACTTCAGGGCCTCAAGGGAGGCACTAGCCTCCTGAGGGACAAGTGAAAACCAAGTGTCAGGCCTCTATATTATCATTATTGTTGTTGCTGTTATTATTATTATTATTATTACCATCATAGTCCTACATTTTGAATCTTCCCAGGGTCCAAGTCCACTGAAAAAGGAGACTACCTCACTTCACCCTATTGTCCCTGTTTCTTCTAGAAGGTTTAGTCCTGAGCTAGTATCTGAGATCAGAGTGTGTGCAAACACAGATTTTACATTTTAGTGGTAACAGTAAAAGAATTGCATCTGAATAATATAAATAATATAAATGCAGAGGAGAAAAAGGCTCAGTAAGGTGTAAAAAGGAACTTCCTAAACACTTCCAGGGAGTTCTTCAGGCCAAACTCACACCTGTACAGTAGCTGCTTGCCTTACCTACTGAGCTGTCTTCCCAGCCCTGACTTAAGGCTTTTTACTTAAATTAACGATGAGTATCATTTTTCCCCATAGCGATAAGCTGATATACAAATTAGCCTGAGATTTTACTTCCGTATCCTTTCTCTGTCAGCATTGTGTATAGACCCTTCACAATCCATCTTAAGACTGGGAGAGTGAGCCTCCGTGCGTGGGGCTCACACTTGACTGAATTGCGGCCAAGCACAGCACACTAACTGACCGGTGTGTGCTACCACCTCATTCCTAGGGGCAACGAAGAACTAAATGAGAATAAGACGCAGGGAACAGAGTCCGGGCCGCCAGACGCATGCGGATGAAAATACAGGTACAGATCTGAATCTAAATTGTCACATAAATGATACAGGTATTCAGAATGTCACAGACGAATGTAAAATCGGAAGAGATCGAGGCGCACTCTTCCTCCTTCTCAGCACACCAGTGTATCATCTGCCCTGTCTCATCCGTTCATCGCTACTCTGTGGACCTGTCGGTACCTTACCACCACAGCAACCAGCTGTACAAGCAGCCAGCTCATTCACAGGTTCCCTTCTTGCAAACGATTCTGCTACGTATATCATCACAATCATCCTCCCCAGATGCTTCTAGTCTGCATGGTGCTCGCTGCACTGTCTGTCTGTGAGTCCGTACATCCGGCAATCAATCACTCTTTTCTAGCTTCTGGGTTTTTTTTTCTTTCCATTCCTGATAGATTCTAAATTCTATCGTGGCAGTCTTGCAAGTTCACTGGCAGCGCTCAGCCCAGAAAACTGTCTCCTCACGTCCACCTGCTGGCTACTCAGAGCAGCTGGATGCAGGCACAGTGGAGCAGGCTGCAGTCACTGCCGGGGAGTGGGCAAGGGTTTCCTCTAGACCCTGAGAGCTGCTGCTGGCCTGCTGCCCACATTGCTCCAGAATCTCCTTTACCCACTTTATCCTCAAGCCTTTCCTTTTCTTGCTCTCAGCTGATACTCTGGCTTCCCGTTTCAATGGACAAACGGAACTGAGTGGATGAGAGTTTCATCCGGCCCCATTATCCTTTCTCAGTTCATTAAAGAAGCGTGCACATGTAGTACCCGCAGAGGCCAGAAGAGGGCAGCAGATCCCCTGAGTGAGGTCACAGGAGGTTCTGAACCACCCAGTGTGGGTGCTGGGAACTGAAATCCGTGCTCTCTTCTCAAACAGTTTTGATCCCCGAGTCCCCGAGTCCCTGTTCTGCCTTTCTCTCCTCTTTCTAACAAAGGCCATGCACTTGGCCTCCCCCTACCCATGTATCTGCATTCTCACACCCCAAGTTTTACCTCAGGGATGTTATTAATATTCTCTGATTGTTTTACCTTCTTCTCCGTAGATGTTTCCCACAAATGCATTTGCGTAGTCTCACCCCTCCCCTTCACCAATAAACCAGTCCACAGTCACCCGACACCAGCGCCTCCCGCAAAGGCCTCTGGGAATCTTACACCTTCCAGGAACCATGTCTGTTCTCTTCCTTCTCCAGCTTCCAGTCTGTTGGTCTTATATTTTCTCTGTCCAAATCCTTGGCTGAGATCCCCTCCACAAACCCTTGGGTTGGCTTATACATCAACCACTCCAACGAACAACCCTTGCCGTGGTCACCATAACTCCTGTGCTCTTTAGATGAAGCTCCCCCCTCCCCCCAGCCTTTTCCATTCGCTTCTTCACTCACCAGACAACATGGAGTCCCTGCGGCTCAGGCAGAGCCTGTATTAGTTGTTTTTCTCACTGCCGTGACAACATAGTTGTCAAAAGCAGCTTAAGAAAAAAATGGGTTCTTCTGGCTCATGGTTTGAGTGTGCAGACCACCGTGGCAGGGGAGGCGTGGTGGCAGGAGCGGGAGGCGGCTGGTCACACGGCAGTGGCAGTGGGAAGCAGACAGAGGTGTCTCTTGGTGCTCAGCTTGCTCCCTTTTTATTAATTTTGAGCTGCCAGTCTAGGGAACCATGCTGCCCATATTCAGGCTGGGTCCTTAGTTAAACGCCCTGCTGAACACGCCTGTGGGTGGTCTCCTAGACAGTTCCAAGAGTGGCCATCACGTCGTCTTTCTACACATAGCCACCACGTGGCTTTAGTCGTCACCTTCCTATACTTTATCTCCAGCCAAACTTTTCTGAACTAAGAGACACACCCAGTGCATGCCTTCAGACTTTCCTGCTGGAGTCTTCAACTCAGCCACGAACTCAGGATCTGATGATCTGTTCACTTTAAATCCCAATGGAGAGTCAGTCCAGTATCCAGGGCTGGCAAGATGGCTCAGCAGTGCAGAGCACTGGCTGCTCTTGCAGAGGACCTGGGTTTGGTTCTCAGCACCCACAACCACTTATAATTCCAATTCTAAGGGCTCTGGCCCCCTCTTCTGGCCTCCACAGGCATTACACACACATGGAGCGCGCGCGCGCGCGCGCGCACACACACACACACACACACACACACAGACAAAACGTTTATACACATAAAAATAAATCTTAAAATATCCCTGTCCATAAATGATAACACATTCTATAATTTCAGCTTTAAAATGATGTATTGTTTATGTAACATTTAGATTAGCCTACCTCTTGTATATTTATTTTGCTCCATTATAGTAACTGATGTTCACACCTAAAAATTCTCCCCATGTGTTATCTATGTGCTTGAGATGCCAATCTTGGATTCCACGTGTTCCTCCTCTTAGAGTTGCTAATTGGCAGAGAGGCTTTGTTCATCAAGAAGTATTCTCCATGGCCTGTGAGATAGCTGTCTGTGGAGTCTGCGTGGCCTGTGAGATAGCTGTCTGTGGAGTCTGCGTGGCCTGTGAGATAGCTGTCTGTGGAGTCTTCGTGGCCTGTGAGATAGCTGTCTGTGGAGCAGCCCGCACTCTGTTGTCTTTGTTACCTAAAACAAAGCTGTACAACGAGACATTTAACACAGCTTTGTTTGTGTTCCCAATGGGCGACTCCCTCCAGGATAACTGGAACCTTTTATTCTGTTATGTTTTGTGCAGTCTCCAAATCCCTGTTGGATTTTGGCATCTGGTGGCTGCCTGCGGAAAGGCTCCTCATTCAAAATAAATGTTTGTACGGCCTTGTCCATTACCTGGTGCTGGTTTCTCACCGGTGGTCACCTGTTCAGTTTTCACTGTCTTAATGTGTAACACACTCATCATCAAGGGGACACATGGAAAAACGTCCCTAGAGGGCAATGAATTAATAGTTATCCAGCCAGTGCTGGCATCCTACTCCGTGTTTACAGTGTAAATCTACACTCAGGGAAGCATTTGCCTCTGGCCCGAGAGCAGATTAGCCAGCATTAGGAGCTGCTGACATTTTATTCTGCCCTGTGATCACTAGTGTTTCCACAGCGGAGACACTAGGTGGGTACCAGCCTGTGCACACATCCCTTCTGTGCACAGCCCAAGGCTCGCAGTCTGAGCATCAGCAGCAGTCAGTGCTCAGCCCCAGCACATCTCACTGGCTGCCCTCCTCTTCTTTGCTGATGTCGCTGCTTCCTTTCCTGTGGGTCGTCAGGATAGATGTGAGCTGACATCTCCTTGCTGTTATTGCGTTTTCTCTGAGTACTACAGAGTTGCACATATCTGTAGATAACTGTCAGCTGGGCCAGCCAGGAAGATGGGTTAGCAGGGGAAGGCGCTTGTCGCCAACCCCTAGCAGTCTGACGGTGTTCCTGGGGCACAGGTAAGCCAGAGGTGGAGAATCAACTCTGGGAAATTGTCCTCTGACCACAAACACTGACCTGTACACCTCTGATTACACACACACTGACGTGTACACCTCTGATTACACACACACTGACATGTACACCTCTGATTACACACACACTGACGTGTACACCTCTGATTACACACACTGACGTGTACATCTCTGATTACACACACACACACTGACATGTACACCTCTGATTACACACACACTGATGTGTACACCTCTGATTACACACACACTGACGTGTACACCTCTGATTACACACACACTGACGTGTACATCTCTGATTACACACACACACACTGACATGTACACCTCTGATTACACACACACTGACGTGTACACCTCTGATTACACACACACTGACGTGTACACCTCTGATTACACACACACTGACGTGTACACCTCTGATTACACACACACACACGTGTACATCTCTGATTACACACACACACTGATGTGTACACCCTCTGATTACACACACACTGACATGTACACCTCTGACCTTGTAGCTTTAATTCATTACGTAACTGAAGGAGATGGGTTCATATCTCGCACAACTGAGGCACGAAAGAATGGAAGACGATTCTTACCGGCCACAGGCAAGGAGAGTTCTGGAGTCACAGCCAAAGCCGTGCTGTTCTTAAACAAAGGAAGCATGGGGATTTATTCAGATCCATACAGGGAGGGCCCATTGCTGAGCATGCTCAGGTAAGGAACACATCATGAGCATTGTGGATTAAGGGTTCACTCCTGAGCATGCTCAGTTAAGGAACACCCTCTTAAGAACACTCAGGTTAAGGCCATGGAACGTATGTCTGAAGATGAAAGGGATGGACAGGAACGCCTCTGGGCATGATCTACATGTACCATAAAGTTTTTGCTGAAAAGAAGCAAAGGTTGCTCTGAAGGTGCCTTGATGTGGGAGTCCCCACAGAGGGTGCCTGCTTCCCTTAGTGGGTGACAATACTGTAAAGTGACTTTTCTTGATCCACGAAGCAGTCTTTAGAATTTGTCTTCTTCCTTCTTCTGCCGTTCTCTTCCTACTCTTCTTCTTTTCTGTGTTAGGATGATATCGCGTCAGAGTTAATCCATCCCAGTTTTCCTTGGTTGGGGTCCTGGCTTCCCTTTCCCCAATTCTCTGCTCTCAGGCGACTTCTCTGTAGCTCCCATTTGCAAAGTCGAGTGATTGTGATATCACTAGGCCAAGAAAGTGCACACAGCACTCAACAGTGCCCGGCTTGTGCTTCATACCATGTGTTTGCTCTGCTCTCTTGACTGTGAGCATGATGCCACAAATGTCTCAGACAAAGATCCTAGTTTGAGCCATGACAGCAAACACACAGCATGAAGTACATGCCCAGCTCACTTCTTTCTTTCTTTCTTTCTTTCTTTCTTTCTTTCTTTCTTTCTTTCTTTCTTTCTTCCTTCCTTCCTTCCTTTCCTTCCTTCTTTCTTCTTCTTCTTCTTCTTCTTCTTCTTCTTCTTCTTCTTCTTCTTCTTCTTCTTCTTCTTCTTCTTCTTCTTCTTCTTCTTCCTTTCTCCTTTTTTATTTTATTTTATTTTATTATTTATTTATTTAGTATACAATATTCTGTCTGTGTGTATT